TTTCTTATCAGGTTACGTTTCGACGATTTCGCCTTTTCCAGATCGCGATGTTTACTTAGTTTTGATTTATTGGCATCACGTGCTTTCATATTTGAGTTACGGATGTAATAGAATTGCACCTTTACAGAGATAAATTTATTGCCTTGGTAAACAGAGACTCAGTGCAGAAATGACACGTGATTTGTGAAAATTGCTGAGTTTTTATTACCGTCGTATTGGACAGAACTCTGTTCAAGAAGATTTTTGATTGAAGACTTTAAAGTGAGTTATTTTAGGTTTCTAAGTACATTAGATTAGAACCGTTGACCACATTTTGAGAGAGAAGGAATAAAGAACAAAAATTTGTTGATGATGAAATAGAATGACACTTGCATCTAATTTGGGTGTTTAGAAAAGTGAAGTTTGTATCCAAATCCTAGATTAATAATCTAAACAAGAGATTTATTTCAATACGAAAAATCTGTTGTCGGAGACCATAGTAACATAGGCAGAATCAAAACTAGAATTTTAGAGGTACACTAGCATTGCTTGGCTGAATTTTTCGCATGGGATTTTATTAATAGGAAAAAGTACTCAAAAATTTCTAAGAAGTGCAACAAAACAGAAGCCATTTGACGTAGTAACATGATAGAAAAAAAAGTAACAGCTTTGCGTGACTAAAGGTAAATGTCATGTAAAGAGCTACTATCAGCAAATGCAAAGAAGAATTGGATAGAAAAAATATCATTCGATCATGGGAGAAAACCACGTGACAGTCGTTTGTCACCTTTGATGAAAGAAAGGCGATAGCGACGGTGTACGAGAGTTTCACCGCCATCTCTTCATCTATTTTCGATATTTTCGAAAGTTGTCCTTTCATCGTGTCAAAGAATACATAAAGACGCTGTTTTTTTGTCGTTTATTGAGAATATAAGTGGTTCTTCTTGATCAATGATGCTCAAAAAAAATTTTTTTTTGCTGACAGTGTAATACACGTGACGAACGATTTAACGATATTGGCAATCGATAATACGGAATTATGTGGTAAAGCCTGAATACTTCTTTTACGTTGTTATCACAACAAGTTTGTTAGAAGACATGCGAAGATTGCAACAGTAGGGTAGTTTTACTCAACGTAATTTTTTAAAATAATTCTTAAGGGTTGTTTCAGGGAAAATTTCAGGTCTAAACTGATTTACACCATTCACAGAACAATATTTACACGGACATCATGAATATTCGCTTCAAAGTCGATAGATTGACCATTTCTGCAGAGTTCAATGCACCAGATGAAAAATAATTTACTGTGAATACGTTGAATTTTCACCACATCACTAGGCAAATCCTTCATATTTGCGGTGCTTAAAGCAGTGATTATGGTATCCCCGACAGGAGATTTGACGCTTCAATTCAGTGAAAGAACCTCTTTTGCAATGCGCAAAGTCGTAGATGAGATTCATATAATAATATGTTAAGAAATTTTGATGGAGCTCTTTCATGTCTGCAACGTGTTTGATCTACATATCACGATCAAATACGAAATTTTTGACAAATGAACGCGGATTTCTGCAGCACTCAATTAAAACGATCAGAACTTGATCTATGAACAAGACAGGAAATTTTGGAGATATTTTATATATGAACAGGCAATGCGCCAGCATGCATGTCCGCACCAATTGGTCTATTACGAGTAGACAAGGAAATTTTGGTCATTTCGAATAATACACAGCTATTTGTCCGGTACTCACCGAATTACACTAAACCTTATTTATCAGAATAGAGAAATTTTCCGCCGTTTTATCA